CGTGGGGCTCAGCCCAGGCCATGGGGCTCCACGCAGGCCATGGGGCTCGGCGCAGGCCGCCCGTCCTGGCCTGCTCCTCGCTGCAGAAGCGGCGCATTCAGAAGCGGCCCCGAGGCCTTGGGGCTCCATTACTGCCCCTGGGCCTTGCCTGCGAGGCTGAGGAGCAGCGATGGGGCCGCCCAAAACGGGCGGGCGCCGGTGGACACGGCGCAGGGCACGGCCAGCAACGAGGCCGGGCGGCAGCCACGTCCAGCCAGGCCCCACGTGCGACACCCCCGGGCACCCGTGGGCACCAATCTGGGAAAAAGACTGGGAAAAAGGGGGGGAAAGACCCGGGAAAAGGGTCTCCCCTTCCCACAGGGGCAGCTGCCTCCTGATTTCCACATGGCCTTTTAAAGACACACACACACGCAGTAAGGAGGAATTTATTCCATTATTCCTGTTTTCAAATTTTTGGTACAAAGTTTATTTTCAGAAGGTCCCCCAGGATGCTTCCTTCCACCAGCATCTTTCGGGGCGGGTTTGTTTGTTTGTTTTCTCTCTCCGATTYATCTGTTGAAGCAAAAGCAGTAATTGCTACAGAAAGCAATAATGGCAATATTACAAATATTTTACAGCAGCATTCATTTCTTTGCCTCAAAAATAATAATAATAATAAAAATAAATCCAAAGACAAGATCCTTACTGCCACGAAGGCTTAGGGCTGTACTGTTAAGGAATATGCTGCGTTCCCATATATGAGTTGTCCAAGTCCAGCACAACCTTCCAGGTTTGTGCAGAGCCTGATAAATAAGACACAGAAATATCAGTTACGTTATACTGTTTCTAAGAACTTTTACTCTGTAAAATGTTTGGTCACTCAAAGCTATAAGCTTAATCACATATCAAAGAACACAGGCAATAAAGCCCATCTTACTAGAACATATAGTAATAGGCCAAACAAAATATAGGAGGACAAAATCTAGTGGTCACTGAAGCCTCTTCAAAAAAGGTCTAAAACAGAATGTTTCCATCATGTATCAGAATAAAAACGTACTGTATTAAAATTTGTCCTTTTTTTTTGTCTTTTTCTTTTTTTTTTTTACAAGCTGTCTTTTAATCAGTCTTGTATTTACAGTGCAGAACTTCTGCCGACTGCAGTAGTTTAACTTTGGCACAACACTAAGCTCCAATCCTTTTGAGTATTCAAGTCCTGTGTGTGTGTGTCCAAAAATGTTCTTGGCTTCACGAGAGATTCGGCCCATTCACAGTTAACCAGTTTATCTCTTTTCAAGGATCGCTTCCCCTTCGCCCCTCCGGGCAGCTACGAAGGAAAGACACCGAAAGCTATTGCATCAGTCGAGAGAAACTCTTCATCTGAACGGTAACAGTTTTGTCGCTCCCTTTAACATCGGATACACCAGACAGATCACACAGATTGCTACATACTGGACACCTCCTCGAAACCTTGCTGGTCGTTAGTGAATCGTCTTCCTCGTACTTCAAATACATTACAACGCATTAACTTAATTTCATTTCACATGTCAAACAGGACATTTAAATATATTGCAATATATTATAGGAATTGCAAAGCTCCATCATTTCTGTAAACGAGACTGACACCTGTTAACTCTCCTGTGCACGTGAAGAGCAGTACCTAGTGCCACATTTTCTATACAATATAAAGCCTTCCCAGGTAGGGTAACTCATTTTAGTGCATTTCCATACAAACTATAAGTGCACATGCAGAAAATCAACCGAGCAAAACCGAGAACACTTTCGTAAGCTGGAACTGAAGGGGGAGGAACGTTTCAAAACCAAAATGAAGCTCTTGTGGTTCCTCTTTTCGTATCACAGACGGAGTCGTGGCAACTTGAGCTCTTCTCTCGCTCTAGCAGACTCTTTAGGGGAACTTTCATGATAGGTATCTAGTATTGAATAAGCATAAGGAAATAGTTTGGTCAATTGGGYGCAAATATCACGTATCTTAACACATTCTAAGTTATGCAAAGTCCGATGCTTATATAGAAATCTTACTTCTGTAATGCTTTAGAAACCCCAAGTCCTATTTCAGCCTTGTATTATAAACATGGATTAGTTACTTTATCCACTTAAAGTTACCACTCAAGTGCTACTTGCTCAGATCACAGGGAATCACACAATCACGGGATGGCTGAGGTTGGAAGGGACCTCTAGGGATCATCTAGAGGCTCCAGCAGGGACACCCAGAGCACGGGGCACAGGGCGGCATCCAGGCGGGTTTGGAAGATCCCCAGAGAAGGAGCCTCCACAGCCTCCCTGGGCAGCYTGTGCCAGGCTCTGGCACCCACGGCCTCGCAGTCCCCAAGGCGCCGAGCGCTGCGGTCACCAGCTCCTCGTCCCCGCGCGCGGGGGCCTCGCGTCACAGCGTTTGCAGGGAGCATCCACTGGGAAAGTGCAGATGCTCTTCAGAGCAGAAGGAAAAAAATAAAGAAAAAGCTCAAAAGCTCAGACCATTAATTTGAGAATATTGGCTGTAAATCTGTGCTTCCAAAGTCTCCCTTTTTTAAGAGGGAGAAAATGATACAGAAATTTGAGCTATTGGGCGTCTATAAAGCTGTTAAGGGGATTTTTTTGCCTTCTTTTGCAACTTATTTCATTGTCAAATCTTCCCCTACAGTGTTTTAATACATAAACAAAACCCAGTCAACTTGACCCAGGATGTTTGTGTCATGACACTCACTAAACCTGCTTATCCTGGGATATTAAAGCCTTGGAGTGGCCCAGCACTGGTCTCCATGGGAGACTGAGCCCTCTCCTAGTCTTTCCCATTTCTAATCAATGCAATCATCACAGTCATTCCAAACAACTTGCAATGGTTTTAATTATCTCTGATCACCATTAAACTCCTTCCAATAGTATATAAAGTATAAGGTAAGCAAATGATTCCGCAAGAAACAGGAAATCGAAAAAAATAGCTATATTTTCTCACACACTGTGCATCCAGGCTAGGCCACGGATATTCAATACTACAGAAACCTCATGTTTAATCTTTTCTCCTCAGGAGATACGAGTGCAGACAGACGCGGGACCGAGATGGGCGGCGCCAACGGATCCTGTCCCGTTCACAGAAGGCAGCGCTGCCCCCCGAGGCCAACGGGAACTCGCTAAGTGCAACTTGGACTTCCTTCGACTGCCGCCCGGTTACTCGGCACGCGGTGACTCCTGCCAGACTCGGCCGCGCTCCCGTTCCGGAGGCACCCGGAGGACGTGGATGCCGGCGTCTCTGGGCTTCCTGGCCTGCAGGGCTGTACTCGGCTGTGAATCACCTTGTACCAGCTCCAGAAAATCCTTTCTCTGATCCGGGGAGGAAAGGGAAGTGCTCTGGCCTGCCTCGGAGTCCCTGGGTGAGTAGCAAGAAAAAGGCTTTTGCCCCAGGTCAGTAAATCACGCACTGAGAAACGTATTTAATGCAATGTGTGTGCATTGAGCTTCCTTCCCAACAATCTAAGTTACAGCTAGGAAGGGTAGTGTTGTGAAAGAACACATTTAAAAGCGGTCCTGGACAAAGTTCAAAAATTGAATGGCCTGATTTACTGTAGTGCATTAGAGAAAATCCACTCAATTCCAATCATGAGGTACGAGGTACCTCAAACCTCTCTTTGCCTCAAAACAAAGCAGAGCTTTCTAGGTGCTAAAACTGAGTGACCACAGAACTTCAGTTACTCACTCTGTCAGAGCAGCAGGAGCACGACTTGCTTTGCTGGCTTTTAGGCAAGCGAATTGGACAGGGCAGGCAAAAGCCAGAGGATCCAGAGCATCCAGAGCATCCTTCCTCTCCACTTCCTACAAACCCATGTCGGTTCATCCAAACCTCCCAGCAGGGACAGCTCTGACTCTCTATGACTAACTGCAGTGCTGGGGCTCACTGGGAGGTTGATACTGAGAGGACAGCACTACATGGAAGGACTCGTGCTCTTTCCTTGCCCTCTGAAGCTAACGCCAAGCTTGCCCCAACACAGCGCGAGCGGGGCCTCGCCTCRCTCTGACCCCACTGCCTTCTCCTCCTCCCGCTCCGCTTCGGGCGCGGGATTGTCTTTATTCTCACACCGGCTGGATTGCAGGGCCAGCAGCACCCGGCCCAGCCGGATCAGGCGCCCTTGGCAGGACAGCCGTGGGGCAGCCCATGGGGCAGCCCATATCTGGGGCAGCCCATGTCCACGGCTGAACCTGGGCTGTCCGCCCGGAGCCAGAGCCCCCAGCAGCCCAGAGGGGGGACCCGAGACAGTCCCAAGGGCTTCCCCACTAGATAGTCAGAGCCCAGCTCAGAGCGGGCTCCAGTTAAGGAAAGCAAAGGCAGAACACATAGCACGGCCCTGTCCCTGGATGAGGGACAACACAGGTGTCCTGCAGACTGCCAAAGGGCACCCAGCACGGGCTGCATCCCCTCGGCTGCCCAGGCGGGCCCCGTGCTCCAGCGGGCACCTACGTGAGGCACTCGGCTCATCTAGGGCTGGCCCTGCGCCCAGTGGCGGCCGTGGGGCTCTCACCCAACACCATGCGGTACCCACGGGGAGGAGACCATCCTGCCCACCACTGAAACACCGTGGGGAGGAGAGACCATCCCACCCGTCACCAAAACACCACAGGGAAGAGGGACCATGTTGTCCACCACCAAATGCCTCAGGGAGGAGACCATCCTGCCCATCACCAAAATACTATGGGGAAAGAGACCATCCTGCCCACCACTGAAACACCACAGGGAAGAGACACCATCCTGCCCGCCACCAAAACATCATGGGGAGGAGAGACCATCCCACCTACCACCAAAACACTATGGGGAAGAGACCATCCTGCCCACTACCAGAACACCTCAGGAAGGAGAGACCATCCTACCTACCACCAAAACACCACGGGAAGGAGGGACCATCCTGCCCATGACCAAAACACCTCAGGAAGGACAGACCATCCTGCCCACCCCCAAAASGCCTGTAGCTCCTTCTGTGCTTTTCCTGGCAGTTCTAGTGGGGGCAGCTTCTGGGAAGGAGTCTGCTCCCCCAGTGCAAACACGTCAACGTTGTGAACGTGCAATAAACTAGTGATGAAAGGACTCTGCTTTTGCAGACAGCCACGAGAGACGGGTTATGAGCAATAATGAATGCATATAACAGCATATAGCCTCTGTAGGGGTGAAGCTGTTCATATTCTTTCTTATCCTTGGCACTACCTACAGGCCTACAAGTTGCTTCCAGCCCGGAGGAAATGCAGGTATCTGCATCCCTCAGCAACTGTCCCACCACACAAAAATTCACGGGAATTCTGCAAAAGGATGAGGTCCCTGCAAATGCTGCTATAGCCACTGGGATGCACAGAACTAGAATATTCTCAGCAGCTAAAATGKGACCCTGTCTACGAGCAGCCATCGGATCACTTTAATGGAAGGAGACTTCCCCCCAGCTGTGGTCACTGATAAACAATGGGTTTCCTCTTCCTGTGTTTTCCAGGCCAGACGCGCTAAGACCTCCCATTGCAGCTGAGTGTTATTTCACAGAACAGTGCCAAAATGGAAACTTTCCCAGTTTAATTAACTCAGATCTTTGCTTTTTCCCCTCTTTTTTAAGGGTTAGATTCAACGCTCAGCCAAATACAGTCTCCGCTAACAAAAAGGGAGGGGAAAATTAAATCTTGCTCTCCCTAAGAATTAAGGTGACTCCAGGCTTTGCTTGCTACAGGCATATTTCCAAGAGGATTAGAGATTTGCTTTAAYATTTTTAAAATGTTACAATAGTGTGGCTTTCCCTCTTTTGTGCTCCCCCACTCAGCAATGCTGAATTTTGACCCTGTATCCCCAGTGCAGCTTGAAGCTAAGGTAACTTTTTCCTTGGCAGCACCTGCAACAGCCCCAGCCCCACATTTACTCCCCAGACGGGGATATTCCCTCGCTGCTTTTAGCAGCTGATGCCCGAAGGGGCAGATTTTCTCTCCTCTACCACTTGCCCCCAGGCTCATGGGGCTTCCCTGAAACACCGGCCGAACAGTCGTGCTTCTCCCCTGGCCTTTTGTCAGCCATTCCTTCCCCTTCTTGCTCTGACCTGGGTTTCACCCACAAACAGCAGGGAAAAGGTGCTCTAAGGCAGCATCTTTCTGAAGCAGAGATGCTTCAGAAATAGCCACGACAGAAAGGGCCATCTTGAGCTTCTGACAGGTGCTTATCACAGCGAGGAATAAAGAGCAATTCCAGATGAGGTTCTTGGAAATATGGAAACAGGAGGACCCATTTTCTCCAYGCTGCTCTCTCAGTGCTCAGCAGAAGCACAAGCAGACAAAGAAGATGCTGATCTGTGCAGGGGCCAACTGCTAGAGCACTGTCTACCACTGCCAATACAAAAGCAGACAACACTGGCAGCAGCAGCACCGACTCAGCTCCCTCTTTGGACACCTAAATCCAATGTTACCCACCCCTAAGAAAGGCAGGCAGTRGCCAACTCACCCTGCTCTTCCTTGGATGACCACTGCTCATCATTCCTTTTGGGAATCTCCCTCTCTGTTTTTAAGCTGGCTTTTCAAGCCCTACTACTGTTTTATAGTCCTGGGACCACCACGTGTTATTTATTTATTTATTTTAGGACACTTATTTTAGGACACTATTCTCTATTGGATTAAGCTATTTGTGGAGTTCAGTTCAGAGAGATGAAGCTTCGTCTCTAAAAATAAGAGTTCACTCAACAGCCCTATGAACAACCAGCACAGTGGGGAGGTGAATCCATTCCKATAAATTTTGGTAATACTTGCACACAGATTATTTAACTGGGCTACTACTGAATAAGAATGATTAAATATTAGGGTTTATCATTCCTAAGCATCCAAACCCCTACCACTTAGTTTTCTTTGAGAACTAAACATCAGGGTATTGCCTAACTTGCTTGAAGACTGTTCTTACCAGCATCCAAAGACACTTTTGGTCCCTCCATCTGCGTCTTCTTACAAAACCCTAAACATCTCTGAACAGCTCTCAGGCAATTCCTCCCCACTCCCATATTTACCATCAAAATGCAGCGTAAGATTTCAGGGACTTACATTTTTTGGCTAAAAATACGCTTTTCCTCACATTTTCCAACAAAGGAATGGATGCACAAGCTACAAAGAAATCTTGCTATCAACTACATCAAACCTGTCAGGTATTTAAACTGAGCTGATGTAGGACACACTGATTAGGTTTAACGAAAAGTATCTTCTGCTTTTCAACTCATGCAGTTAGCTCAGAATTGCCAACAGGAAACATTTCAGCACAAGTTCTGTAAACCCCAAACACTTTGAAGATACACGAGAGGTACCAACRTGGCCTCATTTTCTCAAACCAAGCAATCCTCACCCCTAGGTTCATTGATTCCTTTGTCACACTTTTCTCCCCTTCTCTTTTCTTTTCAATTCTTTCCTCAAGAAAAAACCCCARGCCTTGAAACCTTTCAGGCGAAGTGACGTTTGCAAAAAGACATCTTAGGTTTTTGTATTTCCCTCCTTGGTGAGCGGGCAATGTCCTCCAACAACAGCGGAAAAACGTGTCTCTGTTTTTTGTTTTTTTGGAATTAAACAACATAAGGCAATTAAATACTGAGAAGCAGTCATGTGAGTGATGAACCTTCCCATCAGGAACGCAGAAGAGGAACTTCTGGAGCTGATTTGCACCTCCGTGTCCTAGGCTTGGCCTGAGCACGTCCATCTCTGGGAGCAAGGAAGGCCCTCCCGGTGGCCGGCCTGGGCTGCGCCTTGGCCATGCTCTCTTAGGCTCAAGGAAGATACTAAGCGAGTGCCTGCTAAAACAGAAGGTCACCACCAACTGTTTGGCTTTTCATCAYAACGTCAACCCCAATCCATGGGTGTTTGGCCCCCAAATTGCACATCAATCCGATTTTGAGAGTTTGCGCTTAACGTGCCGGGGAGGTTCCCACGTGTCGCTGTCATCCGTCTCTTCCTCCTCCTCCTGTTCTTCCAGCGTTTCATCCTCCTCCTCGTTCTCCTCAAAGAGCTCTATTCCAAGCTCTAATCTTCTCTGTCTCTCTGCAAACCACTCTCTGACCTGCTCGTATCCCATGTGAGATTTGGCTACAAGTTCATCAAGGTCCTGCTCGTTGAGGAATTTGTGCTTCATGTAATAGTCCTTCAGGATTGCGGCTCCAGTTTTGAACTTTATGACAGACACTCCTCTGTCCCAGCTGTTTAACCTCTTGCTTCCCCGAGGCCTTCCCCGAGGCCTTCCTCTCCCCCTCCCTTTGGGCCTTCCTCTCCCTCTCTTCCTCACGAGGCCTTGCCCGTTCAGGCTGTTTGCGTTGGCGCTCTGGTAGTAGTAATACCACTTCAACCCGCCGTTCTTCCAGGCATAGCGAGTGTCTCCAAACCAGCTCACGATTTCCGACCTCGGGAGCCCCGTTTCTTCTGCCAGCTTGTTGTATTCCTGGGGAGACGGCCACTGAGTGCGGACAAAGGAACTTTTCAGCAGGTGCAGCTGCTCCGGTGATTTTTTGACGACTTTGCTAGCGGAGGAACCCCCTGATTTGGGCCCTGCTCCATCTCCTGCAGATGTTTCCCCAGCCTCCTCTTTTGAGCTGCTGGCATTGCTATCATTCAAGTCAGCTCCCTCTTCCTTCGGGACCTCAGATTTCCTTCTTTCTGTAAACCAAGCATCAATCTCTCTCCTGGTCAGTTTGGTTTGGGCTCTTAACCTATTCATTTCCTCGTCTGTTAGCACAGGGTTACTAAGAAAACTTGCCTGGAGGACCTGCAGCTGTTCGGCCGTCTTCTCCTTGAATTTCTGTGGGGTGACGTCGGGGAAGGCGCTCCAGGAAGCCTTGCCCTGCGCCGTGACCCCCGTCGGGGACTCGGTCATTTCATCGCTGGAGTCGATCACAATGGGGGCACAGGAATCGCTGCYGAGGTGAAGCCCGTGGTTATTCTTGGAGTTTCTCTGGTTGTAGCGCGTATCGCTGAACCACTTCTTGATCTCGCCTTTCGTCAGGCCTGTGATTTTCATAAGCCGAACGATTTCTGAATCCTGAGGGAAGTGGTTTTGCAGGTAGCTGACCTTCAACTCCGCCAGCTGCTCCTTGGTTTTTTTGGCTCGGCTGCTGAAGGAGTCGGGGTTCAGCAGCGGGGCTTCGTTTTTGATAGGCTGGGGGGCCGGCACGGCGGCCACTTGCTTGGTGTCCGCGCTGGGCTGAGCGGCGTGAGCCTGGCTCTTCTGCAGCTGCGTCTGACTCGGGACTCCCGCCACGGTGAGGGCGATGGGGGCCGTTACGGGCAGCGCGTTGGCGCCCGCCACCTGGGTGAGAACAAGTCCCGGCTGACCAACTATCTGGCACGTCTGCAGGATGGAGGGCAGCCCGTTGCTGGCCGAAATGTGCGCGGGGATCACGGTAATGGTCTGGGGCACGGTGTGCACGGTGCCGTTGAACTGCTTCCTCCTGGCTTCCTCCACCTCCTCGGGCGTCCAGCTCACGCCGTGCTTCAGGCGCTGGGCAGAAAACCAGATCTTAATCTGCTCCTCTGTGTACTTGGCTTGGGTGGAAAGAACAGTGATTTCTGACATGGTTGGGTAAGGGAATTTGTTGTAGGTGTTCAGCAAAAGAGGATTGTTATCCAAAGCGGTATTATAGGCTGGAATGCTGTTTACAGGTATTAAGACTTTGGGAATGAGGCCGGGATTCTGCGGCGCTGTGACGGCCGTCAGGACCTGGGCCACGCCGGGCGGCACCACTGCGGCCGGGGTCACCACGGCACGAGCCACCTCGGCGGCGCCGCCGGCGGCCGAGCGGCTCCCCTGCGACTCGGCGAGCGCCGGCGCCGGCTTTTCCGCGGCTTCGTCGCCGTTCGGCTCCTCCTCAGCTCCCTTCTCTTCACCGGGAACGTCATCGGCTACGCCGTGGAAAACAGCGATGCGCTTCGCCTCCGTCTTGGTTTTCATCATTTTCATAATAGGCGTTTTGCTGATGGAGATCCCCGAGGAGGGCACCTCAGAAGGGTCAGCCTGTTCGGCGTTCTCCTCTCTAACAAAACTCCCATCGAAGGTGAGATCATTTACTGTTTGCTCAAAGATGGTCTGGTTGTTCCGTTTCACCATGGTCAACTTAAAATTCTCCTCGCCAGGGTGGTACTTGAGATTATGCTCTGAGAGCGCATCGTATCTTTTGGTAAGAAAATTGCACTCCACACAAACGTAGGATGAATTTAATACTACGTTGGGGTGTTCCGAATCCACGTGAAAAGTAAACATATTGAGATCCGGAGTTTGGAAAGTACAGTATTTACATTCATAGCCTCCTTCCACTTTCAAACTCTTCTGATTGTCCGGATCCCCRCTCTCGGGGACGTCCTCGTCGCTGGCCGCGCTCTCGGCCGGGGCCTTCTCGGCCGGCGCCGGCGCAGGGGCTGCTCCCTCCAAACCTGGCCCCGCTTCCAGGTCCGGATCCTGCTCGTTGGCCAGGACCATGCAAGGGGTGGTTGACTTGCGTTTACTTGCCATGCCTGTTGTCTGGAAACGGGACTGACGAGTCGGACGCAGGCTTGGCTTGGAGCTCCTCTTGAGTTAGAGTAATGGCTTTGGGTACTTCAAGTCAGTTCTTGCAACGTCTCAACATTTATCCCATTAGCAGCTTTTCTTTTGTAGTGCAATCAGATTAAAAAGAGATAGTTGAGGATGAAATGTTGAGACACACGGTTTTAAAGTCCACATCCACCACCTGTAGCAAAGAAGAGACAGCGTAATTAGTTCAATTTAAGTAACTAAGCTCTGCTCTACTCTACAGAYTGTGGCTACAAGTGATTCAGCCCTTAGGGGTTCAACCTGCCACTGCTCGTCTCCTGAAAGCAGTGCACCCATTCCAAGAAGAGATGCTCAAAGCTAAGGTAGGAATAGTCTGAATTTTGTTTTAAATTCACAATAATGCAGTAAAAAGTGTAAAATGTGGGATGGTAGAAACTGAAGAACTTGGTCTCGTTTCCCTGTTTTTGGCAGCCTTTAGCCTGGCGCRACATTGAGCGAGGCCGCCTGTTCTGCCCCGTTTTTCCGCTTTGCCTTTGGACAACCTTGTCTGAGCTGCCCCRTGGGCACCAGTCCCAGGGCCCTCCCCAGAGCTGCCCCCTCTGCCACCCCTGCCACGTTTCCCATGCCAGAGGCCATGAAAAGGCACGTTAAGGGGGTTTTATCTGCTGCACTAGGTGGGTGCAAGTGTATGGGGTGCAAGTGCAGGGGGGCTTCTCGCCCCARTCCCAAAACACACAGATGCTGGTTTGAAGGGAGAAGATCCCTTCCTTGTGCCCAAATGCCACTCACCCTTCAATCRCCAGCCCAGAACAATAAAATTTGATTGCTGGCACATGGCAATTAACTAAAATCGATTTTCATGGCTCTGTGCATTAACGGGGACATGACTGAGTGAACTGTACCAGAAAAACGCATCAAGACTGAAATAGCAAGCAGATGCCAAGCAAAATTCTGTGTTTTCTGTTAGAAAAATAAGTACCAAATAAAACTGACACCCAAATAAATTCAGAGAATAAATATATTCTTAAATAGCATAGACTGGAGTGAATGTGACCTCATGGGGACCACAGTCAGAGTGTTGGAAATACACAGAAACTACCGTAGAGGGTTGTAAGCCCTGTAATAATTCTTATTTGTAATATTTCTTATTTAACAATAATAATAATTCTTATTATATGTCTTGAAATAAAACCACACACACTGGTCTCTCAGAGCAGAAACCCCTAAGATAAGTCACTTTTTAGGCAGTGAAACCATCTGCTTCTCCAAGTGGCTGCGTGCTCAAGTGAGAGAGAAACTCGTGGTAGCCACCCCTGTGGGCAGTCTCAGGTGCTCTAAACAGGTTAAAATCCCAAGGYTGGTTCAGCTTATGACACAGTTTAAGAGGAAAAGGCAGAAGGAAGAAAGGCAGACACAAGAAATACTCTTTTCTCCAGTATTTTCTCCAGCACGACAATATGATTCATTATTTTTGATTACGAGGATGGCAGAGGCTGCGGATGGGAAAGAAATGAATAATTCTGAGCTTCGCATTTTTTTTTTAAATGTTCATCCACCCAGCACTGCTGCCACAGAGCTGCCCTGCGAGCTCTTCTCAAAAGCATGTGCTGCCCCTCACCTTTTTCCTTACAATCCCCTCGGTGCTTTGGCCCTGCACGTTTATCCGCACCAGTTCTGTGCCCCATGCAGGCCGCGGGCTCAGCCATGCTCACCCGGAACAACGGGGATTCAGAGCACGGGGCCCCTTCCTGGCAAGCTGGGGCTGGCAGGGTGTGAAACCCAGCACAAGCCTCCGAGATACTCATTTCTGTGGGCACAAACGCACCAAGAGCGGGGCCTGCCRCTCACCTCGGCAGCAGGGAAGCGGGCGGGAAGGGAGGATCCCGGGTGCGGGAGGAGGCAGGGCCGCGGGCACAGGGCCGCTCGGGGCCCACATGGCTCTCACAAAAGAGCCGCCCTTGCCAAGAGCGGGAGTTGAGCAACTCYCCCGGGCAGAGCTGGGTGGTATTACCTAATCCTGCGGCCATCCCGCGCGCAATTCCAGCAATGCCAGCAATGCCCATTTTCCAAGGCTGCCGCAGGGCCCCGCAGGCCCCGGCCGCGCTGCAGAGGCCGCGTCTCGGCCCCGCGGCGGCRCCAAGCTGAGGCGAGCGAGGGGAAGGCACCGCCGGCCGAGCACGCCGCGCTCCACATACACATATATATTTATATACAAGTTAAATCTCCGCAGSGCATTTCTATTTTATTCGCCGTGGCTACGTCTGGCTCGCTGTGCACAGGCAGATCATCCTGCCCCTCTGATGTCTGCCAACTGAGCAACACGTTCCCTCGCTGCGAGCGTGTTTCAGAAAAAGAAAGATTCGTTTACACTCTCCTCACTACACTGAGGCGTTTTTTCTCCCCCCGAGAGGCTGTTGAAATTTCAGAAACCTGTGTTTATGTCAACACAGAGCTCTGAGGAGCTACAGCAGCCGTCGCTGAAATCTGAGGGAAGCAACGTGCTGCAGCCCCCATAGAGCCCGTCCCCCACAGAGCCCGTCCAGAGCCTTCCCCTTGCTGCTGCTCGGGGTTATTCCCTCTGCATTCCCTTGGTTATTCCCTTGACACGTTCCCTCCGTTCACTGGGGGATTCCAAAATCCCAAAGGTGAGCAGTTTATCGGACCCATTATGAGCTGCCCTTCTGTGTTACCTGCCTAAGATCCCTGCCTGCACTGCGGGGACCAGGAATCCCTCAGGGACTCGGGTATCGTGGCTCAGCAAGGGTCGCAGCAGCCCCGTTAACCGATTCTAGCAGGCAAATTATTCTGGCAAATACAAACAAAACCCAAGCCTTTACCTTAACAAAATCTGTTTTTGTCAGTCCACGATAATTTAATGAACCTTTTCATTGTCTAGGTGCACCAGACTGTTTTTTTAGTAAATTCTTTCTGTGAAGAAAGGTTTGGCTGATGGATCTGTGAATGCCCAAGTGTTCGGCACTCCCCTCCTGCTCRTGCCCCCCTCATGGAAGGGCAGGTATCAGGTTTGCTGCAGCCCTTGGGGCTGTGCCGGCCCCCAGGAATCCTTACAGACCGTCACCAACAGCCAGAGGCTGCTCTGGCTGCTCCTTTAAACGCTCGAGGGCCAACTACGTAAAGGCTGCATCATGACTCAGTATCATTCACGCTTTCCTATTCCCCTTCTGCCCTGAGTTGCATCCCTTGTGTAAATATTGAAGTCACATTGTGCAATTGGCGTGTCACGACCATGCTTCAGGTGGTTGCAGTGTGTCAACGGCAGTATTTTCTCCAAATTCTGTCAATATTCAAAAAAAAAAAAAAGTTAATTCCACTTTTAGCCTCCAACTATTACTCGTTTACATACTGGACAAATATTACTCGTTATTGCAGTTCCCTTCAGGGATTTTACCTCAGGTTTCCCTGTGGGCTACATTCCCAGCAAAACAACCCATAGACCAGAGCATTCCCAGCAGGACAAAACTCTGAGTGCAGGCACCTGGTTTTGGAGCTTCAGGCCCCTAAATCACATCTCTGAGCAGGCCCTCGCTCAGGAAGCTGCTCTGCACAAATGGAACAGAAACTGTTAATAATCCCAATTCATTAACTGTTGTTTTAACAGAGGTTTGTTCTCCAGAGTGAAACTCAACACTCAAAGTTCTCTCTCTGTTGGGTTTAGATAAAGCTTTAAATAAACATTTTCTAAATGCAGAAACCTGTTGCCTCTCAGCTTAGAGAAGGAAAAGCTGAAGGGTTGGAGCAGGAGACACACATAAAAAAGCTGCTTCTCACACAAGCTTCTACCTACCTGTTCTCCCCTCCCCAGCAAGCAGCAGCTAATGCAGCCAGGGATAAAGGAAAGGGTCGTTCTCCTTTGCTTGCTGCGTGACCCTTTCCTTCAGCAAGCAGGCAAAGGGGAAAATAGAACTCAAACCCAAATAACGTGATGGCAAGAACACAAACAAGGTTCCCCTACACGAGCACGGTGATTCGTGCTACTGTTTTTGACACCTGCAACCGTAACTGGACTTCACACCCAGTCCTGCAGATGCTACCGATGAAAGCGGCCGTGTCCACAACCAAACCCGCACTGACCATCACCTGGGCACATCCACGGCCCCGCTCTCTTCCTCGGGCACCTGCACACGAGTTTTCTGCCCTGTGCAGCCCCCCTGCAGCTCGGGCAGCTCTGGAGCTTCAGATATTCACAGAGGGTCCAGTTCAGAGCGAGAGCCAACATCAAGTATCTCTGAGGAGTTACTGAAGGTGACTATCGGACCTAGGATCCCTTATGCAAGTGCTCATCATACCCTGTACACAGCAGCACAACTAAGGTACATTTTTTGCATAGTTACAGCTCTGCTTTGCTTTGTTTTCTGTACTATTACATATATTAAAAAATAAATTATTAATCTGAAAACATTTAAAAGAATGTTTGGGGTTGAATAAACATTTAATGCAACTCCCAAATGTTTATTTCATACTGGCTTTAAAAGCAACTGAACAGAGAAAAAAGCCATTTTCTTTTAAAAATTGTTTATCAAAAAATAAAATCTTGTGGAAATGCCAAAACATCAAAACAAAAGGTTTTGTTCTCTTGGGATTTCCTTCTTTAAAATGAAACAATCTGGCACAGACACGATTTCACAAAATGTTCCTTCCAACATATCTGCATTTCTTTTTTTATAGCTGAAAACTTTCTGGAGACCTCAGTTTTCCCAGGCCCTGGCGTGGAAGGGCTGGATGCGCCGGGCCCTCCCGTGGCCCCCGAGCTCCAGGCCGCGCTCCCACTGCCGTGCTCCGTGTTTCCTGTGGCCGCTGCGACGGGACGATCTCTCCCCGCGGCCTTGGAGCTCTCTGCCCTCCGGAGGGGCCACCAAAACTCACTCCCGAGCAGCAGCCGAGGCCGCCGGCGCAGGAGGGTTCACCCAGCACAGCGGGGTTGAAGCAGCCGCCGCGTGGGCTCGCCAGGAGGAGAAGCACCGGGGTGAGCGCGGCAAAGCGCCCGCGAGCTCTTCGTGGATGCAAAACAGAGGTGATACCTTGTAGCCCACAATCCTGCTTAAAAAATTCCAGGGAAAGGCATTTCTCAGGCCTTAGGGCTAGATCCCTGCCAAATTTCAAGCACCCCATGTCAAATCCGTGAGGGACGGAGCTGTTCAGAAAAAGAAAGGCGGTGTTTTTAACGTTGAGGACACT